AAAATTTCACGTCCTACGACCAAGCACGACATACCCAACGACGAACGGGTCCGTTTGTACCATGAACTTTTGGAGCTGAAAGTGGGTGGCCGCATGCCGCATGGCAAGGCCAAGGAATCGCTGCAGAAGTACGGTATATCTCGGCAAACTTTGTCGAAGATTTGGCGTCGCGGGCAAGACTCAAAGGCTTTCTCTGGTCTGGCTAACGTTGCCAAGAGGAAGCAAGATCGTTGTAGAAGACGCCCTGCTCGGTCCTTGGACGAGCTCGAGTCTGTCGTCAAGACTGTACCTCCACATCTCCGCTTGACTCTGCGGTCTTTGTCAGCTTCAAGTGGCATCCCGACGACTACGCTGTGGCGTGTATTGAAATCGAACAAGTTGAAGAGAAATACAAGCCGCAACAAACCGATGCTTACCGATCAACACAAGGCTGCCCGTACGTTACCTTCTTTTCCTGCTCCTTCCTTCGAAAGTCACGAAACAATGTGCACTGGCATGACATGCTTGACCGGGTCCATATAGACGAGAAGTGGTTCTACGTGACTTTGATCAATCGCCTATATTATCTGTGGCACGATGAGGAAGTACCGGTGAGCAAGTGCTCCTCTAAGCGGAACATTGTGAAAGTCATTTTTTGACGGCGGTGGCCCGTCCGCGCTATAACAATGCAAGAAAAACAACATGGGACGGAAAAATTGGAATGTAGCCATTCGTGACCCAAGCACCAGCTCAGCGTACCATCGTGCACGTGGCACTATCGTGACACGTTGAGTCCTCTATGCAGCATGTGAAGGTGCCCCCCTTACATCAACACATCAATTCGTGGCATTAATTCAAAACAGAGTTGTTTTCACATGGAGTCAACAAACTAGGTCTAACAGTAAGCAGCCATACGCAACATCGATCGAAAGCTTCCAAATGCTTACAATCTTAGGCGGACACTGAAGAAGGAGGGATAGTCACTGATAGTGAGACTTTGTCTGCAACGGGTAGGTAAAGCGGCCATAGTCCCTTAAAATGACCACCGAATGACCTGAAGGTTTGTGCTCCATTCCACTTGCATCCGATAAAGCATATTGAGTACTCCGGAGTAATGAATTGAACTGGGCAGTATGATTGGCCAAAAATCAAAAATGTTTTGTTGGATAATTGATGTACGTCCTCTGTTCCATAATGAAGTCCACCTTTATATAAAATATGAATTTTATATGAAAGTTTGTAATTAAATAAAAATGGATCGTCGACCTGTATTTTTATTCAAAATTGCTGTTTAAGACCAGAGACTGCATGATAACGTGATCTCTCGGTGATCGGCCGAAACATCAGTGATCGGCCGAACGGTCTTAGCCAATAGAATCAAAATTTTCATATCATTGGGCAAAATGGATTACTGCATGTATTGAACCCTTCAGTATCTTATGGCGGGAAAACATATAACTTTATAGAGACAAAGGTGCATTTTGAAATCGACATGCCGCCAAGAACGCCGTACACTGCCGATGACATGCAAAATGCTGTAAAGGATGTGATTACTGGGCTATGCAAGATATCCGCTGCGTCCAATACTTACGGAATCCCTGAACGGACACTGCGCACTCATGTGATTAATTACAAATCCCAAAACACGAGTGCCATCACTACGTTGGGTCCCAAACCGCTTTCGCCTTCCTCATACGAAGCCGACATAGTCACGTGGATATTAGTGATGCAGAGAGATGGGCATCCTGTTGGCCGATCCGACATACTGTTCAAAGCGAGTCAAATGCTTGAGATAGTTCACGACACTTCCAGCCCCCGAACGCTGTCCTCAGGATGGTATGAAAAGTTCCTCCGACGCCATCCTGTCATGAAGACAACAAAGGCACATGGATTGAGCAGGGCCCGCCACAGCATTGACAAAGAGACTGTCGTCGACTTCTTTCACGAGCATGTCCATAATGCCCCTGGTGGATTTCGATCCTTCTCGGGTCTTTAACATGGACGAAGCCAGCTTTTCCCCCAGCAAGACATGCAAGAAAGTTGTTGTACACCGTGGATCGCGAAACGTGTATGTTGAAGAAACGACTGCTTCGTCACATGTTACGATTGTCGCATGCGTTGGTGCTGACGGCACAAAGGTTCCTCCTCTCTTTTATTTTGCCTGACGATCGCGTCTCAACACAAGTGTGCGACAGTTTGACCATTCCCAGAGCCGCGATCACTACGTCCGAAAAAGGCTGGTCGAACTCGTTTATCTGTCGAATCTGGCTGTCCATGCTCCACGACTCCATTCCGTCGTCAACGCCCCGACCAGTTCTTTTGGTTCTCGATGGCTGCTCACCCCACTATTTCAACTACATCTTCGATGAAGCCCAGGCTCTTGGCATTCCTCTACAGTTCCTCCCTGCCAACTCAACCCACATCTTTCAACCTTTGGACGTCACTGTGTTCCGTCCGTTCAAGCAAGCGATTCGGGCGCAGATCGCTAATGGCAAGTGGGCTGACTTGAGCACAAATATCAACAAGCAAACAGCAGTTTCTATTGCCTGCCACGTTTGGATGTCGTCGACGTACAAGCCATCCATTACGATCGGCTTTGCGTGCACTGGATTATGCCCACCTTCGCCGGAGAAGATGCTCTATCGACTTTCCATTTTCAAGCCATCCGCAGAAGAGTTTCTTGAAATTCAAGATCAATGGCTTCAACGAAGCGAGGAAGTTCGAAACAAGTTGCTTTTGTTGCCACCAAGGAAGAAGGTGAAAGCGGCGAGAAAACTCTGACAGTCAGCGGTAAGTTCATCACTGCAGACTATCACGCACATCTCCAAGCTGAGACAATTGCTCGTCCAAGTCGCAAAAAAGCGGTATCTTGTGTTGCTGAAGTGAGCAAGAGAATGTAGAAGCGATAATTGTTTGAAATGACAAGGAAGGATTGCTTAAACATCACAGCTTCTTGGATTTTCATGGCTTCATAGGAAATATCACATTTAGTGTCAAATATGATCAATGATATACAAAAATACAAAATTTCCCTTCAACTTCTCAAGGTGTCCCGAGCGGACGGACTGAGGTTCCAGCGCACACTGACTATCTGGCATATCGTACACCGCTTGCAAATCCGAAACAACCTGAAGATGTTCCGCCTTCATGGCGAAGCGGCGTCTGCCAGCCAAAAACGTCGTTGCCTCTGGACGAGAGATGATTCAAGCCGTAACCGAAATGTACAGGATCTCGGACATCTACAACATGGATGAAACTGGGATCTTTTACAACGCGCAATCACATACCACAATATCCGACTAGCCACGACCGGGGACAAAACAAGACAAGACGCGCATCTCTGTCGCCCTTGCAGCCAATGCCGATGGTTTAGACAAGTTGCGGCAACTTTTTATCGGGAAGTCTATGCGTCTACTCTGCTTTGGCTCAATGAGCACCCGGAAGTTGGGGTTGCTTTACCGCTCGAACCGCAAGGGTTGGATGACCATGGCCTAGTTTTCCGAGTGGATTGGCAACTTCAACTCACGGATGTTCGTTGAACAGCGTGAAGTTCTTTTGATCCTAGACAATGCGTCGTCACATGACCCATTGGAGGTCAAACTTACCAACGTGCGTCTTCTTATGCTGCCCCCAAACACCACGGCCTTTCTGCAGCCCATGGACGCTGGCATCATTGCGTCGTTCAAGCGCCACTACAAAAGGATTCAGTTAGATCACATGCGAGATGTTAATTATGGTTGGTTAATTAGATATATTCATGCTAATGGAGCTTCTTTTTCTTATTGTAGTTTATGTACATATGTTAAGAGGTTTATATTATGAATCATATATAACACCTAGAGAATATAGTTGATGTTGTGGAGTCCTGTTCTGTTGGTGGGCGTGGTGAAGTGAAGAAGTTGCATGCCGTTGATGTTTTGACCGCCATGAAGTGGTCACTTACTGCCTGGGATTGCGTGACATCAACAACAATTCAAAACTGCAGAAAGCATACCGGCATCATGCCGAATACGTTGCTTGATCTCATGGATTCCCTTCGTGTCGACTCGGGCCACTCCATTGCATGCCTGCTGAACTAAAAGTGTATTACCTCTTTAAATGTATTGCTTTGTGTTTTTTGAAGTTCCACAAACCTGTTAAAGTTTATGTCGTCCCACGGGAGCAATCGTCGAGGCATGACTGTACAGTGAACCCCAGAAGAGCCGACATGATACAATATGATCTTGAAATACATGGAGGCAGAATGAATTCAACTTTTTATACAGAGATCCCTCAATTTTTGCTCCCTACTGAAAATGAACATCTTCTTTAACATTATTTGACATTTTCTTTAACATAATTTGATATCAAGTTTCCTGGGATGGTTTGGACATGATTTGAATTTGATGCTTGGTGATTCAAAATTCAAAATGTAAGGCAGCATTGGCTCCACGTAGTGCAAGACACTTTAGAAATTGCAGCGCCACAAGACAGCGGGAAGCAAGCGATTGACCATTCATCAGAAGAACTTAATTAGAGCACACTTTAAAGCAAACGCGCCTCTGAAGATGTCTGAACTCCAAACGTGGGCATCACATGAGTTCGGAGACAATGTGCACATAACGACCATCCGACGCATCATCAAGGACGAAAGAACAACGATCTCCTACAACATAAAGGACGAGTCAGCTAAGACTCGAAAGAACTTTCATCGGCCGCGGTTTCCTGACCTTGACATGGAAGTTGCCCAGTGGGTCGCGATGGCTAACGAACAGCAAGCAGGTGTCACTGGAAGGCTCATACCACGTGCTGCTACCCGTATTGTTTCCCGCTTAAACCTACAAGGTCAAGTCAAGTGCTCGAATGGCTGGCTCAATCATATGCAAATCAGACACAACCTCAAAATGCACCGCCTCCATGGTGAAGCAGCGTCTGCAAGCCCTGCCGAAGTCGACTCCGGCCGTGTTGCGCTTCAAAACGTCACCCGCCTGTACCGCGCTCCAAACATCTACAATATGGATGAAACCGGCCTCTTCTACAATGGTCAGCCACGCACCACAATCGCCGACAAGCCTCGTCCTGGGCAGAAACAAGACAAGAACAGAACTTCGGTTGCGTTGGCCACGAACGTGGACGGATCGGACAAGTTGGCGCCCATGTTCATCGGAAAATCCAGACGGCCGCGTTGTTTTGGTTCGCTTTCCACGCAGGATTGGGGTTGCTTTATCACTCAAATCGCAAGGCTTGGATGACCATAACCTTGTTCTCTGAGTGGATCAGCAACTTCAACGCCCGCATGGCATCGGAGGACAGGTCGGTTCTACTGATTTTGGACAATGCGTCATCTCATAACGCAGTCGATGTAAGTCTTACCAATTGGAGGCTGTTAAAGCTGCCTCCAAACACCACTGCGTTTCTCCAGCCGATGGATGCCGACATAATAGCGTGTTTCAAGCGGCACTACTAGCGGTTACAAATGGACCATGTCATTGAACTCGTGGAAAACAGTACCGTTGCTAACGACCGTGGGAAGAAGAGCTTGTACGCCGTTGATGTACTCCAACAATCGATGTTTATCTTCGCTAATGTTTAATCGACGTTATACAAGTGCACATATCACGGCAAGCACGAGGGAGGTTGTTCGCCACAAACTTAATAACTACTTCTTCACCAATTGCTCTAGAATGGCAAGGATGGCGCGTTGGTTTCGTGCTGACTCCTCTGCAAGTTGGCGAGCCTGCTCTCTATCCAGTTCGATGCGTTGGCGATCCAAAACTAGAGCAGCCTGCGCCCGTGCGGCACACTCCTCATCGCGGACCTTCTTGATTTCGATCGCTTGCTGAATACTTGCCAATAATCCACCAAGATACTCATCCTTGGTTGGCGCCTTGACCTTCTTAGCACGTATCTTCCTCGCCGGCGC